AGGGTAAACCCATAGACTGTATATATAAAGGGTAAACCCATAGACTGTATATATAAAGGGTAAACCCATAAACTGTATATATAAAGGGTAAACCCATAGACTGTATATATAAAGGGTAAACCCATAGACTGTATATATAAAGGGTAAACCCATAGACTGTATATATAAAGGGTAAAACCACAGACTGTATATATAAAGGGTAAACCCATAGACTGTATATATAAAGGGTAAACCCATAGNGCGCGCCATTAGCCTCCCCTCTTCAGGTAGTCTGACACCAACACTGCAGTATCATTACTGCAAAGAGCTGCTGATGGAAAACACTTGGCCTGCTCCGACGGGCCATTTCCAAAAACATTTACGCTGCAGCTGCAGGTAAACCCATAGACTGTATATATAAAGGGTAAACCCATAGACTGTATATATAAAGGGTAAACCCATAGACTGTATATATAAAGGGTAAAACCACAGACTGTATATATAAAGGGTAAACCCATAGACTGTATTATATATAAAGGGTAAAACCACAGACTGTATATATAAAGGGTAAAACCATAGACTGTATATATAAAGGGTAAAACCACAGACTGTATATATAAAGGGTAAACCCATAGACTGTATATATAAAGGGTAAAACCATAGACTGTATATATAAAGGGTAAAACCCACCGCATGACTCTGTGTCTGTGCAGCGAGACGGAGGAGAGGAAGGGCGAGGTGATGCAGATCCACCATGAGAGAGAAATACATTCAGTCAGAGGCGCTGCAGCTCAGGAATGTGACACGAAAACACATTTTAACAGAAGATGCGTTCACTGAATTCATGTAAAAATGCATGCTTGGGTTATTTTAGATGCCTTCTGCTGCAGACTACTCTTTCTAAAGATATTGAAATTGGTCAGAATCAGAAATCCTTAATTTATTATGTTTATCAACAGCATAACAGAAAGGGGGACAGTGCAGATAAAAGACAGAATACAATAAGTAGTTTAAAGAGGCAAGCAAACAGTTAAAGGTAGGGTAGGTAAGAATGGAGAAAGCAGCTCGAGTGCGCTAGAATTTGAAAGTAGATGGGCGAGTCCTGATTCATCCGGATCATTAACCCAGATCCTAGAAATGAGCTGGTCGTGACGAGTCTCCCCTCTCCATTAACCCGAGTCCTCTGAGTCCTACACCTGGAGTGACGTACAAATTAAAGCTATACATTGCGTCACTCGCTACTCTCTTTATAACATGTAAAATAAAATTACAACGTATACCCCAGTCCATCTGCCTAGTGCAGGGGTCTGCAACCTTTTTGACCAAAAGAGCCAT